CAGTTCCACTCAGACATCCGGCCCACCCTTTGCTGGACTTGCTCGAAACCTGTGAAAAACCATATGATTTGCGCGTTTTTGCGGCCATTACAGGGGGGAAAGAACGAAAAAAAACGCGGCACCATCTTTGCTTGCCAGAGAGGCACTTGACCAACTTGCTCGAAACCCGGGTAGAAGAAAGTTAAGGGATAATGCCAACAAATTTAATGGGTGGGGGTGTCAGCCTTTTTAATTCTGTACATGGTTCTGGGAGTGCGACCATTTAAATAACAGGTTTTGATTTGGAGTCACCTAAGGATAGGCCGTGCTCTTGCAGTTCCACTCGGACATCCGGCCCACCCTTTGCTGGACTTGCTCGAAACCTGTGAAAAACCATATGATTTGCGCGTTTTTGCGGCCATTACAGGGAGGAAAGAACGAAAAAAACGCGCGTTTACAGGACGTCTGAGCGTTGTTTGTCTGTCTGTTAGTCTGTGGCTGTGTGCGTGTTTGCGTCTTTGTGTGTGTGTGTGCGTGTGGGTGTGGCTGTGTGCGTTTCTGTGTGTGTGTAGGGCGTGTGTGTGTGTGTGATGCTTGTGTGTCTCTGTCTGTGTGTGTGTGTGTTTGAGTGTATCCGGCTTCTGTTCAGCTCTTGAACTCTGGTGATGGTCCTGGTTGCCACGATTGTCAAACCTGCCCTGTCAGACTGCAAGATGCATCCGCTACCGCAAAACCACTACTCCCCAAGTAAAAGCAGTGTTGGCAACATGTGCAAAATGATACTGACCCACCAAAGATGGAAATGCGCGTGTGGGTGGGAGAAAAAGAACCTAGATGAGTTGATGTAGCAGCTCTGGCTGTTTTGACCGGTGCTTGAACCCCAAGAAGATAAATGGTTGGGGAGGTCGCACCAGGGTGCAAAGGGACGCTTTCTCAGCGTTTGTTGCTATGGGCGGTGTTGTAGCTGTACCATTGAATTTTGTGTTTTGGCAAGCAGGTGCATGTTGGGGACGAGGGTATGGTGGACACGTTGGCATTTGTTCAGAAGTATATTTGCTCCTTGAGGTTGGGCAAGCTTGAAACTCGCAATTCTGGGGCAGCCAAAACCTGCGGTGTTTAACCAGTCGAGGAAACGGTTCTGTGAAGTAGGGGACTTCTGTGATACTGGGGAACCGCCCCGTTGAGAGGGAGAGCCTTGGGTGTGGCAATTTCTCACGCCCGACGTGTTAAAATGGGCAGACAAACATGCCAGTAGGTCCTGAAATGTGTGGCAGTCGCGAACCCGGCTCCAATGTTTCCGCAAAAAGTCGGATTCAAGCAAGCATCATAGCATCCTTTGAAGGAGAGTCTCCTGTTGGGGGGCCAAGTGTTCGGCTCTTTCCGTCCCTTTCTCCCGAAGAATATATATATATATGTATATATATTTAAAAAGAATGTCTTCCGGGCACGTTGGCCGTTTTTTTGCTTGTTTTCCGGACCGGCCTTTGGCCAGGCCAGCGGTGCGGCGTGGCTCGGCTGAGGTAGCGGCGAAGCCAGGGGTCCAGTGAATGTGGGATGCGAAGTCCTCCTAGGCACTACGAAGCTTCCATTTGCTGAAATGAATAAAGGTTTTGTTTTGGGAATCCATCACTATTGGACATATTTTCACTTTCTCCCGAGGCTTAGGCAAATGGACTGAAATGAGTCACCGTGGTTGAATGAAACCATTGTTTGGCGGGTATTGACAGGGGAATCGAATCAGAAACCACTGTGTCTGAGCGGTGGTGCGAAATGGATGCCGTCCATAGTTATGTTCACTGTTGGATCAAGTTGTTTGGTTTGTTGGTTCAGTAAATCTAGTTGTTTTTGTGTGTATGTTTTTTGGGTCTTGGGCTGCAAGAAACTGCCAGTTGTTTTTTTGCTGCCATACCAAGGGTTGTAAAGGCATATTTTGCTTAGTAATATGAAGCTTGTTTCTTGATTTTTTCCTGGTGGTTTTTGAGGCAAACTGTACACTACTGGAATATGTCCACATTTTTCCCAGGGGAAAATGCAAATTCATCAGGTTGACTTCAACCCTGGGGTTCGGGGAGAAGACTCCCCTGGCCCCTAAAAGTGAGCACGCTCTGGTCTCAGAGGCAAATTGTGCTCCAGAAGTACGGCAACCTTCAACCTTTCAACCCTTCAGAACCTCATTGCCAAAAAAGCAACACGCTTCCTCATCCATTGTTGTCTTCAACGCCTTTCCAGGATAATTGCCAATGGAAAATGCAGGGCGCCTTTTCGCTTTCACTGCCAAGTGTGAAAGTTGCGATATCAACGTTTTGGTGCCGCTAGTGGTACTCCTTTGACTTTTCAATAGTTCGATTTGTGCGTTGTCTTCGTTTGGTTGGAACCAAAAAGTCTAAACTTTACCCCCGGCAGTTCTTCAGCGTTTTGGACGTGGTTCTTTGCTGATGCTTTAAGGCAAGTAAAATGCACTGAACCCCTTATGCAAGCTGGTGCAAAAGTGGCTCTGCCTAAGTGGTAGGTAGGAGACTTTGGTGAATTTTGAATGGATGTTAGGACTTTATTTTTGCCTACGATTGGGTTTCCATTAAACACTAAAAGTTATTTGTTTAGCAGGGGAGCAGAAAGCAACCAAGGATAATGAGCGGACCCTGACAACCCCCCAACACCCTTCAGAATAGTGGACCCAGCTCGGGAAATCTACGCCAGAGGGCAAGAAGCTTTAGAGGCCATGCTTTCTTGGAAAAAAGGGAGGCCAACCAAAAGGAAACCAAGGCGTTGACCATGCGCCCAGTGACAAAAGGTTGAACCGCGAGAGAACCACGCAACTGGCACCCCAAGCCAGTTGGGGCACAACTTGGATGGAATACCCTCTTCCTGGCTATAGCTCAGTATTTTATTAAGAGATGCGGACCCCACAGCCCCAAATGGCTCTGGCTTATGGTGATGAGGCTGCCCCGGGGCATAGCGATTTTGTGTAAAATATGAGGGGGAAGTAGCAGGAGGAAGATGCTGTGCTTGCAAAGGCTGTCCCGTTCTGTTTTGTCCCGAGGAGCTGTGACGGCCAGGCGGGAAAGTCGCTCACCCGGGCTCACCCGGGCAAGAGAGCGTTCTCTCCAGACATGCAATGCCCTCTTTCCTTTCTCGGGTTCCCTTGAAGCCGGGCGTCCCTGGCTTCTCAGTGTGATCTTATTTTTTATTTTTTCCGGGGGGGGGGGGTGGGGGGGGGGGTGAGGCCCACTGCCCCAGGTGCCTATCCCAGAAGGGAACTGGTACCCTGTGGTAGTAGAGGTCGTTGTTGGTCCCTGGATCTATTCCGGGGAGAGTCCAATATGCCAATGTCGATGATTGGAGGATGGATTGTCCCTGGTGGATTGTCTTGTGGATAATCCTGTAAGCGGCCTGCAAAGGTTCTTTTGCTTCACGCGATCATTGATGATACAATGATATGCACAAAAGGGGCCTTGAGCCAAATGGTTGCGGGAGATCAACTGGATTGGGAAACAACCACAAAACAGACACGAATTTCTTTTGATCTCCAGCACTAAGTATGAAATACTTTTGGCTTCATGGCCTTTGGCCGTAGCCTTTGATGTATGCCGTAGCCATGCTGTGTGCCGTAGCCATGTGTATTAAAAATGCCGGATTCATCCTCTTTTCTGCTCGGATGAAATGTCTTGGCTTTCGAAATGGAAAACACTATGTACTGCTTCTTTTCGACATACCTAGATGTATCAAAAGGGTGATGTACAACGCTATGTACACGAGGGACGATTGTGAAACTATTGATCTCTCACTCATGGTATAGTCTTGTAGACGGCGAGGATCAATCATCTGAATTGAGTTCGTGGTGCTGAACGTACAAATCTTCATGGTCAGTCGGATCGACGATACCATCGGCGGCTGCTGTCGGATTGACTGCCATAGTCTCCATAATCATTCCAGGTCGAATTGCTATAGTCCTTCCACTGCTTCTGACGTCCCCATTGCTTGTTGTAGTCCTTGTACTCCTGCGGGGTCCAAGGTTGCTTCTTCTTGATGTACTCCTGGTATCTCTCAGCGCTGCGTTTATTGGTTGCAGATTTGCTGCGGATGTACACCATGAGAGGACTGTGAGAGTCGGAGTCCTGCGAGCCATTCATGAACATGTCATTTTTCACGTGCTTAAAGCGCTCTGCGGATGAGACCTGGTAATCGAATATGGCCTTGGTTGGATGGTTCTGCATGAATTCCAGTTGTTCATCATCCATGCCGTTCATCTCGTCCTTCCGGAAAGCCTGCTGGATGTTCGTTTTGCCCCATCCAAATACGAAAGTCATCATCACATCTGGGAACGTTCGATCATATCCTGATCCACACTTCATGTACAGGTGATGACGGATAATGGATTTTAGGGTGCACGAAGTCTCCATTGCATACTCCATTCTGTCCACGAGTGGCAAGTCTTTCGTTTCATTCCACAGTCTCTGATATTCTCTCATGAGGATGTTCACGAGACCGTTGGCCGGATTGAAGACGTGCTGGAGCTTGCTGTAGGTGTTCGCTGATTTGTTGGCGTCTCCGGTGATCGCATCGCATCGGTACAAGGTCACGAGCGGCATGATTTCATTTTGAAGATCTTCCCTTGCTGCTCCATGGCTGATTGAAGGATGGGTGTGGAAAACTCCAATGGTAGCGAATGGGAGATCTGCCCTCGTTATGTGGCGGTCGTCATACTCATGGAGTGACTTGTTGGATGATTTCGGGAGCATGCCACGAAACTCATCATTCTGCTCGATGTGGAGAACGACGATCTCCTTGTCTCGGCCATGTCCTTGGACAATGGTGCGTGTTGGCAATCTCTTTCCAATGTACTTCTTGGATTCAGGAAACATGGATGGTCCTGTAGTTGCCAAACAATCCGAGGTCGGAATTTCGTATTCGGGACCAGTGCAACTTCCTTCAGTTCCGAAGAAACATCTGAACATTCCGAATGTGGTTCCCCAGTTCTGGCTCTTGGTGGAAATGTGTCTTGCCAGAAGTTCCACTCTTGCAGAAGGTCCGCCACGGACAAAGCATGCGATCGGTCTGGATGACCACTGCTTGATCACGATGCCCTTGTAACCGTATCGAATGAACGTCTTGATGAGCTCCCTGGATTTCTCATCATTAGGACTGAAGAATGCGTCTGCTTCATTCAGGCATAAGATGTGTGCACTGTTCTGCATCATCATCTTTACGATTGGTCGATCCTTCATCGGCATGTTGTGCACCTCCCTGTTGTCCAGCTTTGGATTCCTCGTGAGGTTTCCATGGTTCAGGGTAAGCATGTTGATTGCTATGGATGAGGAGAACTCATGCATGTTGAGATAGTCCACAGGAGGACGGTCGGTCGGCTGCATCAGCGATCCCAGCATATCGGCATAGGCTCGTATGATTTTCTGGTCGTCATGTGACCTGAGCTTCTTCAATCCAAGCGGAAGCTTGATCGGATATCCGGATCCTGGTTGAGCTTGTTTGTACTCGTCAATGGTGGGACATTCTCCTCGATGAGGGAAGTAGAATTCTTCTTCTCCGAGATTGACATTGGGATCGACATGTGCCAATGAGGCTCTCTCGCACTCTGTCAAGTTAGGATGAGCTCTTCTTGGATCTTTGTTGAACTTGTCCATGAAGCGGGAAAGGTTAGCCCTTGTCTCCGCGAGCTCTTCCTCTGCGTCCTTTTTGTTCAAATCTGTGTCGAGATAGATTCCCCTGAGTCCTTGGATGAACTCATCTAGGTTCTCTGAATTGTGATATTCCACGGTGACTTTTGGTTTGACGGATCTTTCCCCGGAGGGTTCCATCGTCTCTTCTTCAGCTTCGTCCTGATCGGTGGAACGCCGTCTCTTCTTGGTCTCTGAGGAAGTATCTTTTTCCTTGCTGTGCTTGGTGGAATTCACATAATTGAAGAAGGCATCGGCAAATTCGCGGATCTTGGTGTCGTACATCTCATAATCTTCATGACTGAGATGCTTCTTCATGATCCACTTGTTGCTCGCCATGAGGCTGCCATCAGGTTCAAATGCTGCAACAATGTTCCTTGCCTCGATGGTTTTGTCTGTCAATGCTGTTCGCTCTTCGGAGAGTCGGATGCCATAGTCTTGGTCCTTGAGGAATGCAAGGATCAACAGTGCATCTCTTCCTGCTGGCACATGGGTCAATGCGGCTTCTGACTCATCGTCAAGGATGACGTCATCGATGCATGCCATGTGAACGTGCATTCTCCCCGAAGGGTTTGACTGGGATTTCCCAGATTTGAGCCCGTGCTCCATGATGCTGAAAAGCTGATTTCCATAGGTTGCATGGAACATGAATGTGACGGGCTTCTTCGCGAACGGCTTGATTTTTCTCTCTTCTTCAATGGATGGTGGTGCCGGCCTTCGCATTCTGTACTTGGGCTGAGCGGTGCCTTCATCTTCATGAAGTGCCTCGGATCTTGACGGATGCGGACTTGGCGGAATAGATTCCGTTGGGAGATCATAGTCCGGTTCGTCGCGATGAGGCTCTTTCTGCTGCTCAGAGTACAGGGGTCGTCCGAAAGATTGGATCTCGACTTGTCGTGTGTGTCCGCTGTTGCATCTCACATAGAACTCCATCTCCGGATCGACATGGAATTCATTGCCATCGGGCCTGAGTGCATTTTGTGCGGATCTTGTGTCGATTCCTTGGAACAATTTCTCCCCGTGCTTTGCGCTCATTGTATGTCCCGTCCACGGATGGAAATACGAATGCAATTTCGAAACGTGATTTTCCATAGCTCGGGAACATAGCCATCAAGAGAAGTCCTGGCTTATTTCCTATGAAGTTCCTGGCATGTGTGATGCAGGTCAATGCGTCATAGAGCTCGACGGAACCATCAGGACCCATGTCCACTGGCCGTTTGCATTCCTTATGGGTTCCATGCCTTGGATCATGTCGAAGACATCCGGAAAGTGATCCGCTCATTCTCTCAATTCGCCAGAGGATGAGATCTGTGATCTGTTTCGCCTTGGATGGATCCATGCGGAAGTATTTGCAAACCTGTTCGACATTCTGGACGGCCTTCTCGAGATCAATGTTGCCGTTGTGGCATACCATCGGGATGATGTCGGTTCCATAAACTTCGGATTGAGCATTGGTGTAGCAGCAGATGCTGTAGACCTTCTTGATGAAGTCCATGTATTGCTTCTCCGCATGAGGTCCTTCACCTTGGAGTGTTGGCTGCCAGTAATCGTTGAATCTGGCCTCCAGCCAGAATACCTTAACTCCATGTGGTCTCTGGTGCTCAGGAACGAAGTGGAAATCCGGATTGACATCAAGGATGGTTGAGCATTCCCTGTAGTACTCGTACACAAAATTCAGGAATTTTGAGTTTCCGAAAGGTCCTGGATGTACGGGATTCCTTCTGGAGGCTGATGTTTGTATCCGATCCATATGTTACAAACCACCGATCATTGGATGTGAGAACAGGACGCATCACCAGGATGATTGTCGGATTCCGTCTCTTCATCCAGGATGTTCTTTGGTGCTGGCTTGACCTTGGAGACCAGCCTCAATGCTGGTCAGCGAATCTGCCAGACAATCTTCACTCCGTACATGTGCAAGGTCGTGCATCTGTCCACTGTTGCTTTCCTTTCTCAACATCTGGATCAAACGCATTGTTTCTGTCTGTTCTGGTTGATGTGTTGTGGATGCTGTGGTGACAAGATTGTTCGCATCAGTGCAGATGTGTACATCTGCAATTTCGCCGGTTATGTCTGACCAGAGGCCGCGAAGAAATAGTGCTGAACCGTAACAACGCATTAGTCCGTGCAACTCTGCAACAGTAGTGGACATGGTTGTGGCGGTGATCTTGTGCGTCTCATAGTCGACCAGTGAGCCTCTCGAGTTCGATGGGCCCTGGCGAAGATCTCTTTGTTCTGCAAGAAAAATAACATGCGCACGTTGGGATGACTTATCCTCGTTGTTGCGATAGGATGCATCTGGATAGCCAACTATGCGTGTCTTGCCACGAAGGGGCCAGAATCTCATGCTAAGCGGGATGCTTTTGATGGTTCTGACTGTCTTA